TCTGCCTTTTTTACCGGGAGTATAGGGGTGTTAAAAGGCGACATACATGGTTCTAGCAGTCCTTGGTTTAACAGCCTTTCAACTTCAGGTTTTAACCCTCTCCTCCCTTCTAGTGAAATTGGATACTGTTTTATTCTTACCGGGACCTCGGGATTCCTGATTTTTACTGTAAATGGGGTTATATTTAATTTGCCCATGGTCCCTGGATTATACCACACTTCAGGGTTTATTTTCTCTTCGTCTTCTAAACGGAGGGAACAGAGTCTAATCTTTAACTCCTTCTCTACCACTTCAATTTGAACTCCTAATTCAACAATCAAGTCTCTCCCTAACAAATTGTAGTCCGCTTCAGGAACTAATAGGAAATCACCCACCCCCATTTTAGTTCCCGATTCTACCATCACCCCTTTAATAATTTGTACTTCAAATGGTTCCCCCTTAGCCCCTATTACCGTGGCTGTCTGTTTCGATAAATTACAGCCCTGAGGCAGAAATTGAATAGTAGATCTTTCTGCCCCCGTATCGACCAAGAAATCTATTTCCTGGCCCTGGGGACCCACCTTCAATTTTATCAAGGGCTCTTTTTGATGTTTCCCGGTCCCCATAAAGTAGAGCCCCTGACTCCCCTATTCGATTTTGAACTCCTCCTCGTCCCTAAGCCTCCTTCTGCACTCCTTCTTGAAATGTCCCTTCTTACCACAATAATAACACACCCTTTCTCCTACCTTTCCCTTGTCACCCTCCCTATTCCGAGTGACTCTCTTCTGTCCTTCCTCCGCCCGCCTGCTTTCCCTCACTGCAGCAACCATCATTTTCACCTGTCTCTTCTGACTTTCATCCTCTCTGCGGACATAAACCTTCTGCACCTCTCGCAATAATTCTGCTAAATCCCTGTCCTGCCAATCATCCATTTTCTGTATCTTTCTCCTAATATCATCCCAGGACTTAGAGACAAACTGGACTTTAAGAATTGCCTGTCCCATTGGGTCATTCGGGTCTAACCCCGAGTACAGCTGAAAACTTTTCCTTAACCTCTCTAACCATTCAGTGGGGGTTTCATCCTTCTTTTGTCTGTCATTAAATGCTTTATTTATATTCTGGCCCCTAGGAACGGACTCTTTTATGCCATCAATTAATATGGTCCGAAAGTCCCGCATGTTAGCTCTATGGGCCGCATCCTGGTTATTCCAATTAGGATTCTGGAGAGGCCATTTGGTATCGGCTGGCTGCTGGGCATGTGCGGGTTGGGCATCCCAGGCTCGCATTCCAGCAA